AGTCCTTGTATAGTTGATTAATTGCTCTGTTTTGTTTTTGGATTTGTTTATGATGTTGTTTTCAACTTTGCTATCTGCTGTTGTTTGGTGTATTTTTTCTTTTTTGTTGGAAGCGAATTAACAAAGAGTTGTATCAAGAATAAAAAGATTACCATTGGTTCACTATGTATGAATCTATTTTCATCTAGAATCTGGCTTCATCGGTACTTATATAGTTATCTAGAATCTCATCTAATTATTACTGTTCTTACACATATGTCAGCTAAAGCTCAAGTTGCTGACCCAGTTCTTACAGTCGAAGAAGCAGATGACTCAACAAATTGCACTGGTTAGTGAAGTAGAACAAATATTCTTACCAAAATGTTCATTGAACATGTATGATGCTCCTCCATTGAACAATTATTTAACAAAATTCAATCTGATTAACCAACCACAATCTGTGTCAATCAGATGATGGTCGTGAAGTTGTAATTAGATCAAGACGGAAGAGAGCAAAAACAAATATAGATACAGTTACTGGTGTAGTCAAGAAAGATGTCATAACTGAAAATGTACTCGGGATTGGTAAGTTATATCTAAATACAATCAAGTTAACATTTACTCTTTATAAATATGCATTTTATATTGAAGTGAACTTATTGACCGTACAATGCAGCATCAATGGAACATGAAAAAAGTCCTTTGATGTGCACCAGAAGCAAACGTCAATATGGGACAGTAGATGAAGTTTGCCATACTGATAAAGAAACTAGAAATATAGGTGAGAATTCATTATATAAATGATGTGATATTTGTTTCATTATTCGAGTAGATAAAATCACATGACATATGCATTGCGACACTAACATCTTCATTGTTTGGTTTAAAACATTTGCATTAGGACACAACCGGCGAAAGAGTATTGCATTAGATGAAACAAAGGATGGGGGAAAAGATGAAGCGAATAAAGGTAAGGAACGATTAGAAGATTCTGATTCAAGTGAAGGAAATCATTGCGGATTGGAGAATTTGAGAACTAGAACGTCACCAAGAACGTTATATCAGACAATCGTTGGTTCAAATGACGCCCAAAAGAATGTGGTTAAACAAATGGGGCTTGGCGCTTTATTAGAAATGACAATTAATGGAGTGCCATCGAAGCTTGGTTTTTACGTTGTCGACAACCTTGACGTGAAGAAGATGGAGTTGAAGGTTGTGAATGGTGGAATACCAATCACAATTGAATCAATCCATGAATTGTTGGGTTTGAGAATGGGAGGAGTTGATATTCTAGAGATGGATGAAGTAGAGGATTCAAAAAATATGACAGCTAACTAGAGGAAACAGTTTGGTAAGAAAAAGATGCGGCCGAAAGACATTATGAAGATAATACAAAGTTCAGGAGATGCAGGGTTCAACTTCAAACTGAATTTTCTTGTTCTCTTCGTGAATCTGATGGTTGAATGTAATAGGATGGGATGCTGCAATTTTGGGTTCCTATCTAGAATAGAAAGTGAGGATGTCATACCAGAAATAGATTGGTGTAAGTACATCTATGGTAAGATAAAAACAAGCAAGTCAAGATGGAGAAGGGATAGTAGAATGTGCTTCTATGCTGGACCGTTGACATACCTCGCTGTAAGTTTTTCTCTATATATAAAACTACAAAAAAGCTTTACATAACAAAACCAATATTTCATTTGCAGTTGTTATATGTGGAAGCGACGATAAGTCCAAAAATTGTGGTGGAGCACAAGGGCCATGCAATCTCAGCATGGAACCTTGATTTGTTAAAGAAAAGACAATCAACAGAGATTAAAGACGGAGGGTTCTAGCTATTACCTCTACGATCTAAAGCTGAATCAAGTGAAGATGTTCATCACCGTTACGCTTCAAATCAAGAGAATATTGGTGAAACATCAACACCGACACATTTGAGCAAAGAGGTTTGATTTATGTATTGTATTTTTCATGAAACCACAATTTCGTTTAACACACCATATGATGTTTCATTTAACACACAGTGATTTAATGAATCATGTTTCAATTAACAAACAGTGATGCATCTGGCTTCATCAGATATTAAGTTGTCAATCTAGCCTTATTTTTTCTTGCATCTAATTTTAGTTTGTTATCTTTTGTAGTTCATCTTCTAGTAATTATTCAAGTATGGTTTTAAGTCATTCCTCCTTGCTTTTGTTTTATTTTCTAGCAAAGAGGGTTAAAATCATTTATTGTGTGGGTGTAAAAAAATGACATAATGCAAGAGAGAGCAATGAGTTCTTGTCAATTTACAGCTGCCATATCCTGCAGCATTCCTGCTGTCACTTGTTCATTTAATAGATAAGACTTATTACTTTAAGTTAGCACTTTCTAATACATTTAAATGTCAACAAATGCAGGATCATGTTCAACGTATAATTATTAAGATCGCTGTTGTTTTAAGTGCAAGAGTAGAGGCTGAGATGGAAATTAAAGAAGCGATGTCCAAGTTTCCAGATGAAGAAGAATTCAAGCAATACAAGAAACAGCTGGATGACATGTTCAATGAAGGAGCATGTAACACGACACATGACACTCATTCCAGTGGATTGAAGGATCATTCAAGTGCAAAAAATGATGGACATCCTTCATTGGATATTGTTGCAAGTAAGCCAAGTGGGTTCAATGAAAAACCATTGCCCACAGTTTGGTTAAGCCCTGGTTTCATTGAAGCAGTTGACAAAGTAGTTGAAAATACTATATCAACGTCAAAGACGAAAAGACCATATGCAGCCATTACTCCTCCAAAGTTTGATTTGGGTATTAGTCCAATGAAGCAATTGGAGCCTTTGTCAATGCTATTGCATGAAGAGGCTGAATGTATAGAAAGATGTCCTTCGGTGGAAAGATGTAATGTATCCAAAGATGCAAAGAAATATCACGTGGAGCGAGCGACAAGACGTGAACTAAAGTTGGCTGACCATCTCAGGTCCCCTTTTGTTATCAGAGCAGTTGACCTGAACGTAACGCCAGAAGCAAGAAAAATACATGAATGGGCAGTTGTTGGGCTTGGAGGAAAGTAGTAAGTTCATTATTATATGAAAATTTCTTTGTTCAATTATTACCACCATGTCATCTGTCTTCATATTTTATTTATCATTTCGACGGTTTTAAATGCAGCGAGTTGTTGTTTTCAACACCAAACGATACGAAGCTTCATCGGCATGCAATTGAAAGCTTGGGGCGTACAACTACAATTTACGTAAGTGTGATAGACGCATGGGCGACATTGCTTAACTACGAGGAACGGTTTCGGAACAGGGATTCCTTGCGTCGTTATTTTTTTAACACGGAAGTTATGGTACGTGAGAAGGATAATATTTTAAATAGCATTTTTTTTTCATTGTCTAACAGCTTCATCAATATAAACCATAGATACATCGTTGCTTATGACAGGGAGACACTAAGCTAAGATCTAAGAGCGTCAATTATAATACCCAATACGCACTTTTCAAAAAGGGTATGAACACAATATAATGATCAATATAATTGTACAACCTCATCAAAACCACAATTGTCAATACCTGACGTTATTTTTGATCATTATCATTTTTGATCATTATATTGTGTTCATAACACCGTACATTGCACTTGCCTATTCGCGGCATGTTTTTGACACTTTTACGTCATATATCATTTTGTTTAAAGATTGTGTTTGCTTTTTTTTTGTTGACAATCACATAGAATAACGTCAGGTATTGACAATTGTGGTTTTGATGAGGTTGTACAATATTTGAGTTCATGGTTTGGCAAATTGTTAGACGTTGATCAGTCTATTATTATGAGCTTTTTTAATTAAAGAATCGTGTTTCAATGACCCCAGATTCATAAGTTATAACAACATCACCACTAGAAAGATCTATCTGGTACTCAAGTTGATGTACATTTGATTCATATAGTTAAGTATATCAAATAAGATACTAATACGGAGTTTTGTTCTCGTTTTGTCAGTCTATTATAAAGAATGGATGAATAGTTGATTATTCTGAAAAGACTATTCAGGCAAGTATAAGTTGATAACTTGATTACTTATTTTTAATACATTAAGATTAGTACTTAATATGTAATTTTTAATGTAGATAAATTATAAAATGATCTGTAATCTTCCGTAGGTGACGGATTCTATGCCATTCATGTAGTCTATGCCGTAACTGTTGTCTTGAACAAGTAAGTTTACTATTACATTTCATCATATGGCAGGACAATTCATTTAGTTCATCGATCTCCTTTATCATGTTGTTTATGTAGGTTAACGCCCGCATGTTACTAATTGATGAACCTAGTTTCATCAGTACAATGCAAAGATTTTTTACATACTGATGAACCCAGATTCATTATGAAGCTTGTATTAACCATTATGCATCAAACCACCTGATTACTATTGTACTTAGATTACATAAAGTTTACTAATGAACTTAGATTACATAATTGGTGAACCAGAATTCATCAGTACATTTTACATGCCCTTACATGATGCCATAAAGTTTACTNTGGTGAACCAGAATTCATCAGTACATTTTACATGCCCTTACATGATGCCATAAAGTTTACTAATGAACTTAGATTACATAATTGATCTGATGAACCTGGTTTCATAAGTACATTTCATATGCCTTCACATGATGACATAACGTTTACAAATGAACTTAGATTCATACTTAATATGATGAATACTGGTTTCACAGGTACATCTTATACGTTGCCATTAGTTTATCATGAATCACTACACACATAGGTGAATGAAGTGTAGTGATACGACAACAATATAATCCAGTAACTTAAATCTCAACAATATAACCAAATAACATTTCAAAATTAAATGATATGAAAAACTTAAAAATATAACTTAAATGTAATCAAAGTGAACTAAAATCCATCAATACAATCCAATAACATTGTAATCAAAGTGAACTAAAATCCATCAATACAATCCAATAACATCTCAAAATTAAATGATACGAAAAAATCAAAAAGATAGCTTAAATGTAATCACGCTTCGGACAATTCCGAGAATCATGTGTAGCCATCTGACCACATAGTCGACACTTTCTCTTCTGCTTTTTTCCGTTTGAAATTGCTTTCTCTGCAGCGCTAATAAGTCTCTTACCAGTWCCACAACCTTTGTTTCGAATACCGGTGGGAGGAAGAACATCAACAGTTTCGGGTTGAGATACTCCAAGAAACTCTTTAATAGACGATGTGGTCTCTTCAGTGTGTGACTGTAAAGGAAGTTCAATGTCAACCTTTGAATCCCATTGTTCGAGTTGGTCAACAAATCTTGACAAAATGTCTTTTTCATTTCGGACTCTACCTAAGATACGTTCAAAATATGAATAAGCCAAACTCATCAATCTCTCTTTCTCTGCATCAACTTCACCATATCTGAAACGTGCTGGTAACCACTCCACGGGAACTAGATCGCGTCGCCAACGACGAAGTATATATTTATCGGGGATTCTGTCAACCTCGTCATTTAACATCACCTTCAGAGCGTGACGACATAAAATCCCATTACGAACAAAACAATTGCAACTGCAATCGTAGGAGTTTTCCATCTTGTTCTTAATCACCTATTATATGGGAGGAGGTTTCATCATATTGTTCGTTAAAATAATATTGTACAATAAGGGGTACAAAACGAAATTGGACAAAGTAAATACCGTGTACTTTGTTGTGACCATCGAAGCCTTGTTCTTGTGAGTAATGGTGTACACTCTGGTTTCACTAACGTCGGTGAATCCATCCCAGCCACAAAGCCAAACAGCCTTTCTTAACTCTTTCTGAATTTCGAAAAATATCGTCCGTGTATACACCTCTGCTGCATGAGCTTCTAACTTGCAAGGGGACACCAATCGAGGAATCGTGCTCTTGGTTGTCACCTCTAGTGACCCATGTGTTACCTGTTGACTTTCAATTGCATTATCAAAAGGACGAAGGAAAACAACAAGATCATGCCAAAAATGTGCATAAACGTTAAAAAACGCATTGATGCTCTCTGACGTGGATGTTGTTTTCATTAGGCCTGACATATGATAATCCTTATAGTAAGCCGGAATCCACGACTCCCTAATATTGTACAATTCATCAAACCATGGATCTCCACGTAATCCATAAAAATCGATCAGATTGTTCCATTGCATCTCAAATTCATTAGGACCAAGGTGAACGTTCCACACCAACTTATTAAATTCGCTAACGAACTGCGTGCGGTGTTGGAGGTAATTACTAATCTGCGAAATAAACCATCAAAACAATTGCATAAAAAATGAAAATGAACAAAAAAATTACTACAAAAACTATCATCTTAATTACCTTCGATTTCACCTTTTTAGTGATATGCCACATACACAATCGATGCCTGGATTCAGGAAATGCAATGGRAATTGCTTGTTTCATCGACGCACATTGGTCGGTTATAACGAAACGTGGTTGACGTCCATGTGCTTTTACAAACGCTTTTAATACCCATGTGTAATCAACTACAGATTCATTATGAATCAATGCAGCTCCAACAACAACGGATTTCTTATGATTGTATATTGCAACGAACGGAACAAATATTATAGCATGCCTATCAAAAATAAACAATGAAAATTAATACAAGGTACAAGATAGAGTATTAATAAAACCAACATAATATTTTAATATCAACTACAACTTACTTGTTGGTCCTAAACGTTGCATCAAATGATATTGCATCGCCAAATTCCCTATAATTTGATCGTGCAGTCTCATCAGCCCAAAAAATTGCTAACAACTCCTTGTCATCACACTTGTACTCGAAAAAAAACTCAGGACAAACCTTCCTCCTGTTAGCCATCACATTTAATAACATTTGTGCGTCTTTATTGCCAACAAAATATGCCATATCGCGTTTGAAGTTTTGATGATCTCTTACAGTGCCACCCGATGAATCTACACCACCCTTAACGGCTTTCATGAATCTATGAGATTTGGTGACGCCAACCTTGGAACTAGAACCATGAAATATATTCTTATGATCAGTGTAGTGGAGTTGCCTTTTGGAACGGGAAAACCTCATCTCCTCTTCATTAAAAAGGATGTGATTGTGCTGCTCAACGAACTTGTAAACTTCATATTGGTTCAGTTCTTTAACAAGGTGAATTTTTAAACATGCTCCACAACCGGAACGTTTGATATTTGAATGTCGGATTGTACGACCACCTGGAATAACATCTAAGGAATCAAAATACTTACTTTGTGGCCTCCCTTCCTTACTACACACATAAAATCGGGACGTGATACGACCAAKCTTATTTATCTTCTTGTTAGATAAACGTACATCAAACCCAGCTTCATTGGCATATTTCCGATACATTTTCTTAGCCGATTCTACAGACTCAAAAGAATCACCAACCTTAGGTTTATATTTTACRTCTACACTAGGAAACCAATATTTCAACCCATCAGACGTTTTGCCCCATGTCTTGATATTGATAATCTACAACAATAACCAAAATGAATCTTTATATTAATGCAATTGTATCGTAAAGCCGCTTTTAGATTCAAAACAGTAACACAACAACATGATTATAACTTGATGAATATGTCGGCAAAAGACAGAATGTAGGTAATAAGACATAATGTAGGTAATCATACTTTGACATACTGACATATAGCGTATACATGAAATTATTCGCTAATGAATCTAATTTCATGAATAATTTCATTGATTACCTTTTAAAGATGATGATGATGATTATGATAGCTTACTATGTCAATTGTTGCTAAAACATTCATCTATTAATCCTCATGCACACCATAACATGACAGTCAAGGAGCTCACCGTTAACTCCTCTCGAACCGACTGGATCGTGGGCTTGTGCGAGGTGGTATTGGGTGAACGGTTAGCCATATTAGAAAGGTGTGGTCATGGGTATCATGTTGAGTGCCTAGAAGCATGGTTCAAAGAGCATACAAACTGCCCACTCTATATAACCCCTGTCTCTCTCTTGTTACATTGTTGCATTGCTGAATTATTTGTTGTTTTATACACTGATGAATCTGATTTCATCAGTATCTATTATAACTCCTATCTCTCTCTTGTTACATTGTTCACTGAATTATTTGTTGCTTTATAATGAAGCCAGATGCATCTTCGTGTCATCAAATACACAAGCACGAGCATGCACATTCTGCAATGACCATATACCGTACAAGAGTATGAATTATTTGATGACACTGATGAATTTGGTTTCATCAGTATCCATTATAACCCCTGTCTCTCTCTTGTTACATTGTTGCATTGCTGAATTATTTGTTGTTTTATACACTGATGAATCTGGTTTCATCAGTATCCATTATAATCCCTGTCTCTCTCTTGTTACATTGTTCACTGAATTATTTGTTGTTTTATAATGAAGCCAGATGCATCTTCGTGTCATCAAATACACAAGCACGAGCATGCACATTCTGCAATGAACCCATATGCAGTACAAGAGTATGAACAAGTTCTTCCAACAGTTGATAAAAGTGCAGACTATGGTGTTCATTGATCATTTAGAATGCTATGACAGCAATCAACAAACTCTGGATTGTCTTTTGGGTTTCATTACATGTTTCCAGTTCTTACAACAGTTACGACAACAAAACATTACCTTCATTTTCATTACTCAAGGACGCAACATCATCATCGTCAAACTCTGCAGAAACTCCGTCCGTAATCGAGTCACTACGCTCAGGTATTGTTTCATTTTGACGAATGCACCCATCATCATCCCTAGCTGAGTAATTGCATTTATCTTGTGTTGTACCATCATTAGTTGCAGTTGCAAATTCACGATCATGAACAACACCTTTACGTTTACCATTAGCGCCATCGATTTCATCAAAGATATCCTTGACGAATGTCTCGTTGAAGGAGATGGGATCCATAGGAGTATGATTTGTTGTTATTCTAGAAAATGCTTCCATCGATTCCATCATTTTGTTAAAAGAAAAGTATTATTTAGTAAGGTTTTAATTACCATATCAGTTTCAGTTATTAATAGTAATTATATGGCTTCATAATTAATAAGATATTTATTGATATTATTTAAAAATAATTATTATTATTATATAAAATTAACAAATGACAATATTAACCTTTTCATTTAAAAAAAATTTATAAAAATAAAATAGAATTCAATGATTGGTTAAAAGGGAGGTTGCAAGGGTTGTACAAATAGGGGAGGTTGTAAAAGAAATATACCCTATATTACACAGGGGGTATTTTAAATTAGGAAAACTCTAGACATTAACTCTGAAAGAAAACTTTGAACATTAACTCTGAAACACAAGAATTCAGAGTTTTATTGTTAGGTTGGAAAATAACTCTGGGCTTAACTCTAATAAATATCGAACAAGTAAGGAAGGCGTGGAGTGCACACTTGTTTGAGTTTATTTTGATCTAGGGGCGAATCCCCTAAACGACGGGGGTCCGGGGCAGCGCCCCCGATGGCAGGGTCCAAGGGGCTGCCAGCCCCTGGCTGGGTCAGCTTGGAAATTTGTTTTTCGGGTAATATTGCTTTGTGAAAAAAAAAATCAAAAATCCGAATTTGAAATTTTAAACCCGGTTTTGATGACCACTCAAGAGTTAAATTCAGACTTACAACTCTGAATTTTCCCAGAGTTATGTTACAAGTGTGGAGGCCACTTTAGAGTTAAATTCAGACTTAAATTCATAGTTCAATTCAGACTTACAACTCTCAATTTTTTCAGAGTTATGTTGTAAGTCTGGAGGTCACTTCGGAGTTAAATTCAGACTTAAATTCAGTTAAACCACGAAAATAGGAAAATAAACGTGTAGAGGGACATATGTCACTTAAATAGGCATATTTGAACCGTAAGTGAAATTGTGTCTAGATACATGTTTATGCGGGAAAAATCAATAACCATCGCACAGAAACACGACACGTGTCTCCAAAATTACTTATTTGTTAGGTATATATATATATATATATATATATATATATATATATATATATATTATAGAGTGAATTACACTAGTTGTCCTTGTGGTTTACTTAAATTTTATTTTGGTCCCTAAAACAAAATATCTACATTGGTATCTAACATTTTATTTTCATAACACTCATGGTTCTTTCACTTAACAATGTTAGTTAACAACCATTATGAATGACTAATCGGTCTTTCAACAAACTATAAGAACTCAAAGTGTAATATGCTCTAAACTTTAATGTGATTCACGATTGTTTTTTAAATTTTTATTAGAAAATATTTATATATATTCAATGACAAATCAAATTTCTTAAAATAAAATACATATTAAATAAAAATACTTATATTTACTTAAAAACTATTAAATTTATAAAATAATTAGCACTGAAAAATCTCACGTTCAAGAAAACAAAGGAAATCAAGATAAATTTACATATTTTTTGAGTTGAGAATTGAAATATGTAAGCAAATTATCGAAAATTAAATTCAGTTAATGTGAGATTATTAATATATAGTCAAACTATATATAAATAAAATAACAATAAAATTGAAATTATAAGTTAAAATTAAGATTAAAAAATATTGATTATTCAAACAATTAAGACAAATTATCACAACATCAAAATTGGGTTTATATGATGTCAGAAAATTTTGTAGTCCTAATAGACCACTTCATAAGACTTAATTTATAGAAAAAAAAAATGTCATATTTAAAAGCATTGTAATAAGTTTATAGGACGTTTTTGTACGTCCTAACAAGTTTTTAGGACACTTATAATACAAAATGTTGCATTCACAATTTTATATGACACTATTTAAAAAAGTTTCATGTGAAAACAAGTGACCTATAAAAAGATTGGTTTTTAGGATGCTTAACTTTTTTGATGTTATATAAACTCGATTTTGTTGTAGTGATATTTTTTTCTTAAATTTTTTGAATAATCGTGTTTTAGTCTTAATTTATAATTTTTATTTTGTTATTATTTTAATTATTTCTAATGTGACTATTTATTAATAGTCTTACATTAACTTAACTTAATTTTTAATATTTTGCTCATATATTTAACTGACTATTTTGTGAGCAGAAGCCATTTTGTGAGTTTCTAACCCAAAAGACATGTGAATTGATCTTCATTTCCTTTGTTTGTTAAACTTGAGATTTTTAACGTCATAATGGATTTAATAATTTTTACATAAATATAAAGATTTTTATTTAACATTTACTAAAATTTAATTTATAATTGGATAGATAAAATATTTTTCTAACAATTTTTTTTAAAAAGCAATGAATCACATTAAATTTTAAAACAAATTACACTTTTGGTCCTTATAGATTCTTTAAAGACCAATTAGTCTTTCATAACGATTATCCACTAATGTTGTTAAGTAGAAAGACCAGAGTGTTATAAAAAATTAAGGAACATTAATGTATATAATTTAATTTAGGGACTAAATATAAAATTTGAACAAACTATAGGGACCACTAGTGTAATTCAGTCTATTATATACCATACCAAAAAATGAACCGCGGGGGTATCATCGATCATGGAGCTTGAGCCAACCAACCATTGAAGGGTGTTAACCCTGGGGGCAAAATTGTCTTTTGAAACAAACTAGGGTTTTTCATCTGTTAAAGAAGACACCTGCCTATATAAGACGAAAAATAACACAACAAACGCTCTCACACACCGCCGTTGCTTAAATTTCAACGAACCAGAAACATCACCGGAGATGGGAGTTTTTACATTTGTTTGCAAATGCTCCGGCGGCGAGTGGAGTGCGAAGCAGCTAAAGGGAGAACTTGAAGCCTCCGCCGATTCTACATATACTCTTCAGAGGAAGCTTGTTCAGGTCGCTCTTTCTAGCGACTCTTCCGGCGGTGTTCAATCTTCTTTCAGTTACGTCCTACCCGATTCTGCTGTTTTTCAGGTATAATTTTACCCCGACTTGGTGATATCTGTTTGTTTCTTACAAATTTATGTTCGATTTCGACTTTGGAATGATAAATTGTTGAAAGATCGTTAGTCATTATGAATTTAAGTTGTTTATTTATATGAAATCCCAGTAGTTAACACCAAATCCATTTTTTATATCTGATTTCGCTTAGATTTACCTAAAATTTGGTAGGAAATGTCACTATGCTCGATTTACTTTGTCTTCCGATTCAAATCTGGGATTTTCCGGCTGCAACTTTTTATGCTCTAAACTTCTATGCTTTTGCTGATGTTAGGGTACACATTGAGACATATAGTTGCTCTTTTGTAAACTTCAAAAGAAGTTCAAAACAACTTTTACCCTTTTCAGATGTAATTTTTGGATGAAATGACAATTCATTCAATTTCTAGAGGTTCAAAATTAAAATATTGAAATGGGACACTTTATAGCAAAGATAGTTTGTAAAGTGGATTCATTCTTTGGGACAGGGGAGTGCTAGTATTGTTTTGAACCATCTATGGTAGCAAATGAGAAACCAATTAATACATTAAGCTCTATGAAAAACCAAGATCGAGAGGCTGGAATGGAGGGTTTTATTAATTTTGATATCCATTCTGTCATACAACACTTGGTTTATTCTTCATCATCTGTGTCCTCAATTGGATTCACTTCAAATTCCAATTTAGTTATTGTCATTCAACTTCCCAAGTAAATTATCTTCATCCTTCAACCCACCATCTCAACTCTTCAAGCCAGCTTGGAGATGGCTTGGTACGGTTGGTATGCTTTTCTTAACATATCTAATTTTGTTTGAACTTGTTTGAAGTTTTTGCTACCAAAGTTAGTTTTGGGGTGGTATACTTGCACAAACAGACAAGGCTTTAAGTCAGTTTCTTTTGGGCTTAAGCTCCTTGTGGTCATTGGCTTTTAAGCCAAGCTAGCAAGCCGACTGTTGTTTCCCTGATTTACAAACAAATGTCTATCTGTTTGGTGTCAAACATTGAACTTTTCGGAAAAAAGCCTACCTTATGTGGGTCACTTAGAGCAGCTTACTGAACTTAATGAGATACAACTTACTAGGTCAGCTATACATGACTGTTTGATGGTGCTTATTTAGTAAGCTTCTTCCGGTGCTTTATGTAGAAAACCAAGTTTTTTCTCAAACCTGTCTCTTCCAATTAAAAAATGCCCTTACCATCTATGAAAAACTCTCTTAAACAAAAACAATCTCAATCTCTCAAACAAAAACAATCTCAATCTATACAGATAGATTAATCCACACAAATGGCTTCTTAGCATTTGGTTATACAATTTATATTAATTCCTAGAGAACATCTCCTACATATACAGACCTTTGAACTTGTTTTGTGCAGGTGATTATTGGTGGAGGAGGTGGTGGAGCTGCCATCGGAGCTGGAGCAGCTGCTGCATCAGCACCGTCTGGAGGTGCAGCTGCTGCCGAGGCACCTGCAGCTGAGGAGAAAAAGGAAGAGAAAGAAGAGAGTGATGACGACATGGGTTTCTCGCTCTTTGATTAAGTTTTCTATTTCTTTATACAATGTTCTGTTTCCCCCCAAGTTTTTAATGTTTATGGCTTCATCTTGTGAAGTTTTGATACTGTTGGTAGATTATGGATAATGAGGTTTTTGTTGAATTATGATGATGATGGATTATATCATGTTTCTGTTCTTTAAATGGTATTTTTGGATTGATTGATATTATTTTCTTTACTTGGAATAATTTGTTATTAGTTTAATATAATTCAATTTTCTCTGTGGTGGTTTGTTTTAATTTGGATACCATAAAAATTTGGTTTGGTTGGTTTGTTGTCAAGTCTTGTATGGATAAAACTGTCTAGGTGGATCAATATATCTGTATAGATTGATAACATTTTTGTTTGAAAGAATTTTTTATAGATGCAAAAATTGTGTTTTTTTTTATTGGAATGGACATGTTTAGAAACCACGAGACTTTTTGCATAAAGTTTACTGAAGAAATCAGATTTTACATCATTAATGTATCGTTGACTAAATAAGCTATATGAGTGTCATAAACTGTTAACTGACAGTTTAAGAGTGTTGTTTTCAAAAGGTTAGTCCTAAAACACCCAAAATGATTAAAAACTTGGTATAATGGAGATACACCAAAATGGATGTTGTAGGAGATTAAAATGAAAGCTTTTAACAAGAATAAGGGTTTAAAAAGGTTAGGAAGACTTGCAAATCATTTTTAGGAAGAACCTAAAAAACTAGGTCAATAATGGTGGAAATTGAGATGAAGAAGATGAACTCAGATCTTGGATCTAGGCTTGAAATCTTGATGTTTAGGAGCTCTTAAATGCTCTTGAAAAAATCAATTTTGGAGGAGGAATGTTCTTGGACCAAAAATGTGTGTGTGAGAGAGAGAGAGAGAAAGAGAGGGAGAGAAATGAAAAAAAAAATATGGAAGAAAATCGCATTTAAAGGAGCTACAGATGCTCGCAGGCATGAGCAAAATAGTTGTGCGAGGGCGAGTTATGCATAAATATAGTTCAGTCCACTTTTTGGAGTTTGTTTGCAGGCGAGAGCAAATTAGCTATATGGGCACGAGCAGTGCAATTTTCAGCCAAAAGTTGATAATTTTTTACCAAATGTGATAACGAACTCAACCAACATCTATAATATTTTTAAATGATTATATTAAGACCAAATTACATTAAAAAACTTGAAATTACGGATACTAAAAATCCGGTGTTAGATACAATTTTGCCACCTAAGCATGTGAACTAAAATCTGTAATTCTATCTTACCCTACCATTTTATTAGAATATACAATTAATTATTGTAATAAATGAAAACCATTATTTATACTATCTATGCTATATTATAAAATATTTGACAAAAACTCTTAAAAACCATTTTTTATGCGTAAAATACTGTTTATTAATGCATATTACTTAAAACTCAAGATTGCAAGTAAATTGTGCGTATTAAAGCTCCATATCTGAATTCGTGTAACTAACTGCAGATAAACATAATCAAATACAGGATAAATATCTCATTTTAAATATAAAAAATCAATAATACAATTAGGATAATCATTGAGTTTTAACAAGATACTTAATTATTATCTTTATAAAATGTTATATTATTAAACCAAAAATAAATTATTTCGTTATTAAACTTAAATT